CATAATTTTTGATATAGTAGTTGTGACTTATTCACACTATATACATTTGGCTTCCGCAACAAATATACGTTATTAGCAAAAGATAGCTTACTTTCTTAGCTTCTTGTGAAGGTAAAGCAACAGCAGACAAATGCAGCAGTATTTGAAGGTATCCATGGAAACGAGGGAGCTCATCCACTCCACATCGGTTAACAAAAATGTCATGAAGGCCTGGATATACACTACATAATATTCTGGTAACAGGGTGGGGGACTGAATGTTCGTCAAATTTTGAATAGACCATCTTCACTTGGTCCACAGAACCAGTTGAATCATGCCAAAAGACTTCTTTAAGTGACAACAGAACACCAGGTACAGTATCTTCAAGTGAAGCACCAAACTTAGAAGGGACAAACACAGAAGGTCCTTCACGTAATGCTTCAACCACTTTTCTCTCTGAAGTATTCATCCTATTCCACACGAATGTGTAAAATCTGGACATTTGCGATACACTGGAAAAAAGTATCCAATGGATGAGTGTGCAAGTTCAAATTAATGATGAGAAAAGGAGCTCAGAATGAAGGAAATGCTTACACCTTAAGAAGTTTCTATTTCTTTCTAGTCATTCAGGACACTAAAGTAGTAAAGGGAACATGTTATGGCCAGACAGTGCCTGACCGTCGCTGATATTGCATCATTCACGTCATGATTAATTTTTGAAAGTGGCAACCACCAGACAACTTATTTGTTTCTAGTTTTCCTTCTTTTCTTGTGGACAGAGAATAGCCACCTCTCCAAAACAGGCATTGCGTTTAACGGTTTAAGGGAGACTGGAGAACACATGTTTCAAACGAATAGCATTCTGGCTCAACGTCATCCTCCCACGTAGACAGGTGCGACCCAAGCAACAACATCAGTAGTGCTTTCTCACTAACAATTCTGTAGCCATGCTTTCATTTTATCTAGAAAAGTTGAGAGTCCGTCTGATTAGGATTTCAGTAGGACTAATTAAAATCTGAAGGTCAATGTCGGGGAAAGACAATATAAACAGGACTCAAGCTACCATCTTAACGAGTTTGATTAGGCTTCAATTTCATGAATAAAGGTACTTATTACAAACTATGATCATTAGTTAACCAGACTTAAAAGAAAAAGAAAAAGAAAGAGAAAGGAAAATAATCATCAATTAACCAGATCGCAGAACACTACCACCAACCTCAGTATGTGAATATATGTGACCAATTCATGCAGCATGCACTATTTATATTTGGGTTGACTAATTCCTATTTACATCACAGGAAAAGAAATAACTAAAACAATAAAACAATGTTTCTTCAGTAAATGAAAAAATAAACCATCTTGCTGTTTTCACATCGCTTTCTGCTGAAGGATAAGATCAAATACCTAGCCCTCAGAGGTGCTTTGGCTCTCCAAACTTCAAGAATTGCTAGTGTGTCATCGACTGTAACTTGGGTTTTCAAACCAAGAGTTGTTAACAACCTTTCACTTCTCACCTGTCACACAAAAGAAGCATTAGCTCTAACTAAGAGCCGTCACAAGGAAAGTCCAATAAAATTCAAGCTAAAACACATCCAAAGTATGTTTCAGTACTACTCTATACCAGGAGCAGGAAGAGACTAAAATAATATCATGATGATACTACCACATTTCAATGGACGTGGACTAAAATAACAAGTATTTCACAAGTGCTAATTAAAAGAACAACAATGAAGCTAATACAAAATAAAGGATCTTGTCAACAAGCAAATGTTGGCTAAAAACTTGCTTGCCTAGAAGTCAAATTAACTCAAGCTAGCTTCTCAGACATACAGTTCTGTAAACCAAAACCAGAAAAAAAGGTTGAGATAGTGAAAATGTTTTCCATGAAAAATGTTTTCACGAAAAATGAGTGGTTTTATCACTTAATTTCCCTTGTTTGGTTGGTGAGTGAAAAATATTTTCAAGTGTTTGGTTAGAGAGTATAAAATATTTTTAGGAAAATAATTTTTTATGCTACTCTCCTCAACCCACCTTCTCCAAAATCCATATGTTTCCTGTACTCCTCCCGGACTTTATTTTCTTCAAGAATTTAATTATTTTTTTCAAAATTCACACAAACCCAAAGGAACTAATGTTCTACTTTACTTTTTACACCCAAAAACAACGTTGAAATTTAAGCTCGATAACTAAAAAGAAAATATATTTTTTGTGCTGAAAAAGAAAGTATTCTTTCTACAACATGAAAAGAAATTAATCATTTTGTTGAATGAAAGAAAATACTTTTTCTATATCGTGAAAAGAAAATACTCAATTTGTTGAAATGAAAGAAAATACTTTTTCTACATCATGAAAAGAAAGTACTCATTTTGTTAAAATGAAAGAAAATATTTTTCCTATATTAGGAAAAGAAAATACTTAGTTTGTTGAAATGGAAGAAAATACTCTTTCTACATCATGAAAAAAAGGTACTCGTCGTTGAAAAGAATGAAAATACAGTATCGTGAAAAGAAAGTACTTGTTTTGTTGGAGAAAAAAAGCTTTTACTATTTCAGGAAAAGAAAATATTTAATTTGTTGAAATGAAAAGAAATACTTTTTCTACATCATGCAATGAATATACTCATTTTGTTGAAATAAAAAAAAAGTAATCTATTTACAGCATGAAAAGAAGTACTCTTTGTGAGAAAGCACGGGAGAAAATATTATTAATATACTAAGTTACAATAAGCCCTATTTATATATATATATATATATATATATTTGATGAAGTAATGTATTGCATTAAAGGCATCAAGAAGATGTAAAAGATTACAATAGAGAGCTTGGTTAACTCGTTAGGACAAAAAAAAACTATTCTATAGCCTTTAGTTAACCAAGGGAAAAAATCAGTGGTTACTAAACCATTGAGAGAGAGCTAATGAAGTCTAAGAGGGGGATGATATCGTTTACAGGGGAGAGATTACTCCAACTAAAAAGATTAATTAGACATTTTGACTTCAAGTGTCCGTTGGAAGTTGAAATGCCATCAAAACATCTATGATTCCTCTCTTCCATAGACACCAAAAAATACAGAATGGGATCATTTGCCAGATCTTTTTAATGGATCTATCAACTTCCCATAGGCTCCAGCTAAGAACTACGTCCCTCATGTTCTGTGGCACTGCCCAGTTGATGCCAAAAAGTGCTAAGAACATGTTCCAAAGGTCTGATGCCACAGCACAGTATAGAAACAAGTGATTAACTGACTCAGAGTTGAGCTTGCACATGTAGCACCTATTTACCTACTGAAAATTCCTTCTGCTAAGGTTGTCCTGGGTCAAAATAGCTTCATAGAAGGTTGTCTAGGAGAAACACTTGACTTTTGTGGGCAGTCTTGTCTTCCAAATCAGCTTCCATGGCCAAAGCCCGATCATGTTATTAGATGCACTTAGTTTGCTATAACCGGCCTTTACAGTGTAGTTACCTCTTACAGAGTTACCCCACCTTAAGTTGTCTGGGACTTGAGAGTCCCCTTTGGCTTCTTCAAGAGTCCTGTAAAAATCAAGTAGTTGGTTTAGTTCCCAATCCTGCATATTTCTTCTGAAGTAAAGATCCCAGGTGTTCCCTGCTCTATTTTGGGCTATAGAAGAGTTGGTGTCTGAGGCAATCTGGTATAGCTTGGGATGAGAGTCTTTTAAAGCTTGGTTGTTAAGCCATCTATCCTTCCAGAATTTAATGTTGTTGTCGTTCCCAGCCTTATAGGACACTTCTTGAAAGAATGCTTCTTGTAGGTTGTTGATATGATTCCACGGGCCAACTCCATGTGGTGTTCTATTTTGCTTGGTGCACCACCTATTTTGCACCCCATATTTTGCATTAACTACCTTTTTCCATATGCTTGTTGATTCTTGAGCATATCTCCACCACCACTTCATGAGCGGACTCTTGTTATGCTTGGGACTCTTGTTATGCTTGGCCAAATCTCTGATTCCCAGACCACCTTGATTTTTTGGCTTGATCACTTTTGGCCACTTCACTAGATGGAATTTGTGGCCTTCACTATTTCCTTCCCATAGGAATGATCTCCTAATTTTGTCCAATTACTTCTGCACCTTGTTTGGTATGGGGAAAAGGGACATAATATAGGTAGGGATACTATCTATAACACTGCTGATTAGAGTCAGTCGACCACCCATAGAAAGATACTGCATTTTCCATGTTGCCAATTTTTTCTCCACTCTCTCAATTACTCCATTCCATATATCTGTTGCCTTGTACTTAGCTCCTAGAGGGAGGCCTAAGTAGGTTGTGGGAAGGGAGCCAATACTGCAGCCCATTAGATTAGCCAGCTCCTCCAGATTTGGAACTTCATTCACTGGGTAAATCATGCTCTTCAACATATTGATGTGCAGCCCTAAGATAGCTTCGAATAGGAGTAGTGTCAGGTTGAGGAATTGCACCTGAGATCTCTCTGCCCCACAAAAGATTAAGGTGTCATCTGCGTAGAGTAAGTGAGTGACTGTGACTGATGTTTCTGCATTATTTCCAACCCTTGAACCCATCAATCCATTGCATATGTTTTGCTTTATCTAGCATTTTACTCAGGCCCTCCGTAGCTAGGATGAATAAGAAAGGTGACAGAGGGTCACCTTCTCTTATTCCTTTTTGAGGAGAGAAAAAGCCCACTAGAGATCTGTTCGCTAAAACTGATTACTTGACTGAAGTGATGCTGAATTTGATCCATCTGTCCCCAAACCCCATAGCTTTCAACATTGAAAGAAGGTATGACTAGTTAACTTTGTCAAAAGCCTTCTCAGCATCTAGCTTGCAAAGAATTCCGAGGATCCCTCTTTTCAGCCTCTCATCGAACATTTCATTAGCTATTAGAGAGGCATCTGTGATTTGTTTGTTCTTCAAGAAAGCACTTTGCTCGCTAGAAACTAGCTTCCAAATTACTGTCTTCAGTCTCTCGGCTAAAGTTTTGGCAACAGTTTTGTAAATGCTTCCAATGAGACTTATTGGTCTAAAGTCTCTGAGTTCTATTGCACCTTTCTTCTTGGGAATGAGAGCAATGAAAGAGGCATTGCATGATCTAACCATGAAGCAATGTTGATGGAAGTGGGACAGAGCCCCCATAATTTCAACTTTAATGAATGGCCATGTTTGTTGGTAGAAGGCCATTGTGAAACCATCTGGACCTGGGCTTTTATCAGGTGCGCAGGAATTAATTGTTGCCAGTACTTCTTCCTCCTCAAAAGGTCTTTCAAGCCATACTTTTTCAGCTAGTGATAAGCTGGCCAATCCCTCAAAGGTCACTGAAGGCCTCCATTGCTCATTCTCAGTGTATAAGTCTTGATAGAATCTTAAGATTCATCTTTGATTTCATCACTGTCTTCAATTAAATCATCCTCAATCAATAATTTGTTAATACAATTGTTTCTCCTATGAGAGTTGGCCATTTTTTGGAAAACCTTTGTATTCATGTCTCCTTCCTTGAGCCACAAGCTCCTTGATTTTTGTCTCTATGACACTTCATCCGCCTTTGCCAACTTTTTTAAATCAAGCTTTATGTGCATTGATTGTTCCTTTTCAGTCTGAGTCAAGAGTCTATTTTCTGAAATTTGTTCCAGCATATTTAGCTCCTCCAGAAGCATATTTCTTTGAGCTTCCAATTGACCAGAGGTAGTTCTATTCCATTCTGAGATGTTTTTTTCAGCCTTCTCAATTTGGCACCAGTATAAAGTCGGGGCTGCCCCTAATAGAGTAGTTGTTCCACCATTCTTCAACTTTGTTTATGAAACCTTCAACTTGAAACCACATGTTTTCAAATTTGAAGTAGGAGGGATTTGATTGCCAATCACCACATTCCAATAGAAGAGGCCTATGGTCTGAATCAACTCTTGGTAGGGCAATTGTTTGATCGCCTTAAAGTTATCATTCCACTCTGGTGATATTAAAAACCTATCAATTCTGGAAGCTTGCAAGGAGTCCTCTCCCCTGAACCATGTGAAATTGGCACCTTGAAGTGGCAAATCTATGATGCCTAGGTCTTGAATGATGTCAGAGAAAGATTTCATTGCCCTGGACCTTCTGATGCAGTTGTATCTTTCGCTTTCAAATCTACAAACATTAAAGTACCCACCAATGACCCAATGATCCTCCCAAATGCCTCTAATAGCTGCAAGTTCATGCCAGAAGACCTCCCTTTCTAAATTGTTATGAGGACCATAGACTCCTGTGAAACACCATTTGAAATCATCCTGTAAGCTTTAGAGCATATATGAAATTGTGTAGTGACCTTGATGAACCCCCTATTGGACCATTGCCTTTTACACGATGATTCCTCCACTTCGCCCAATTGAGTTCAGAGCTGCCCAGTTGACCCATCTATTTCCCCATACTTGTCTGATCAAAAGTGGTGACCATTCTACAATCTTTGTTTCTTGAAGACATACTATATCAGCCTTCCATTTGTGAATTAGTGACTTTATTGTACTCCTTTTTCTGCTTCATTGACACATTCCAACTAAGGATTTTGATCTTCATCCAGAAAGAGCTTTGTAGTACCTGCCTCCGACCCCTTCTTTCGATCCGTCCAAATTCATTCCCCATTTTAGTCTTTCTAGCTCCAATTTTTGCTTTTGCTTTCCCTTCGTGTTGGCCTTGGTTAAGACTTTCTGATTATTGATTTGCTACAGTCTTTTTTGTTCCATGCGCAATACCATGCCCAAAACTCGTGCTTAAACCCAGCAAAATGGATACCAAATGCCTTGCATGCTTTGACCATTACTGCTTTGGTCCATCTTGAAGTTTTGATGACTGCTGGGGAACTAATAGGCTGTGAACTGGGCCAACCCAGTTCATACCAAGGGAGGGAGAGAGTGTCACAAGAGGAAGCTTCAACTTTAGAGCTACTCACAGATTCGAATAGCTTTAGAGATGGCAGAGATGGTATAATTGACTTCAACAGTTCTGCCTCATCGTCTGCTTCTGATGCAAGTTCGCCTGTAAAGTCGCTGGCCAGATTAGAATATCGAAGCCCTTCTATGGCTTCTAATTCAGTTGTTATTGGATCAAATTGATTGGAAGTAGACACTGGGCTATTTTTTTTAACATATGGTTCCAGAAGAGGCGCAATTGCTCGCTATTTCCCTTTTGATTTTAATTTGGGTTTTGGGCCTCTTCTGTAATAGACTTGGTCCATTTGTGGCCCAGCTTGTTTGAAGCCTCTAAGCCAGACTTTGGTTCTTTAATTAGGGCTGGCCTACTCGGCGTGAAATCCAAAGAGTTCATGTGAACCCCATTTGAATTAAAGGGGCACGTACTCCTATGCTGCTTTGAATAAACTGATGTGTTATTAACTGATGGGTTAATAAGCAGTGGTTTCTCCAGCAACGTATTCGAATGGCTTGAGAAGGCTGCCGCCGGCGGTGGTTCCACCCTTTTCCCTTTTAATTGAGCAGTTTTTTCTTCGCCCTCCAACACGATTCTTGTAAGTTGATCATCCAAAATTGAGATTTTAAATCTCTTTCCATCTAACACCACATCCAACTCCCTGGGAGTGACTTTTATTTTGTTTTGAACACAAATTCTTGCCCAGTAAAGTGTGTTCTGTTTTTAGTATCTTCATCTACATCAACATAGCCTCCACAGAGCTCACCAATTTGACGAAAAGAGTCTGTTGTCCAGCCGTGCAAAGGGATGCCAAAAGCTTTGACCCACCTTTCCCCCGCTTTATTTTCCATCGATGACGACCCGTATTCCGGCGACCACCATTCGAGGGATAGTCATCAACCGTTCCAGTACCAGTCCCCCGCTTTGACTCTAGTAGCTTCTTGTTTTGAGGGCAATTCAAATAGGAATTTGTTGTGCGCAATCGGGGTGATTCTGAGGCCAGCCGTCACTTTCCACCTTGTGAGGAACCATTTCTGTATAACTTCTGGATTGGGTCTTGAATTGAAAGGGTCGTTGAAGCAACCGACTAGACATTTTGCTAAGAAATCTTTTGTTCCACCTGAGGTTCTATCTTCCACCTGCTGTAAAGGCCATCTCGATATTTCAGCAGCAGCTTTGAAAGGTTTCTTTTGCAAATCTGAGAATTTCTTGAATTTGTAATTTGATGCTTCCCCGAGAAAGTGTACTATTTTCTCTGATATATCTCCCCAGCCTTTGTTATGGACCACCTCTGGGATGATAATTGCCCTTTTCCTTCCCTACCCAAACTTCAATTCTTAGATACATGCCATAGCTGTTATAGTTTTGGTATACTCTATAGACATATGTTTGAATCTTCCTCCTCCATCTTCTGTATAGATTACCATAACCACGTGATGCTTGCTGCATTTGATCACAGACCCATCTCAAATTATCCTCGTCTATCTGGATTTGGCTTGTGAATCGTCGGCCACGTTCTATCCATACGAACCATCTGTCAGTTCCTCTGCAATCTTCGACGAGCTCAAAAGATTTGTCACCTGAAATGAAAAAGGATTTCCTCCCCATAGAGACCATAGAGAGGACTCACCGGAAGGAGGAGATTAGAAAGAGAGAGATTGAGGTGGCACGAGTCCCAAGTTAGAGCTCATTTAATTGCTTATATCAGTGCTAGTATGTTTGATGTATTTCTACATCAATAAGACCTATTTATATGTATACTGTTAGAGATAGCTATGTAATTGTCCCACATTGGAATATGAGTAGTATCCCCTCTGTATAGAGTGGCTATAAATAGCACTTCTTATATTGCATTACACATAATATCAATATATCATATTTTCTCTCGTGCCTTCTCACATGGTATCAAAGCTATCGTGAGAGATTTATCGTTGTGCATAAATTCCAGCGATTCCGGGAAGTGAAATCAGTCACCGAAACCATTTTTCCAGCGACTTTCAAAGTTGTTTTGCGTCTGCTTTGTCTCGGCCAGTATTGTGCAAAAAATCTAACACTACAACAAGATTAGTCACTATCCAGCGACCAAACCCCAGTGAAAATCTCCGGCGGTACTGTAGCTGTCCGAAGAAAATTTCCCGATGAAGTTCCGACGTCGCGTGGGCCACCTTCCGGACATTTTTTGGCGACGACACTTCAAGACAGATTGTTCCCCTTGCAATTCTGAGCCTACCTATCCAGGTTACACCAAATTCCGACCACTTTTATATTTTTCCGTGCGTGAATAGTGATTTCAAATGTGGACTTCCGACCATTTTTTGAAAAAGTTCCTTCAGAACAGTTGGGTCTTCTGGTAATTCCGATCCTACCCCTACTGCTTTTATTTCATTCCGACCACTTTGAATATTTTCTGGCAACTACAGTAACTTTCCAACTGCTACAGTAGTTTCCTATTCTGGTTCAGTGTTCCTTACTCTATTTTCAGTGGATTACAGTTGATTATTTCTCTTATTTGGTAATAATTTACAAGATGTCTTTGGGAATTGATGTTTTTGGGTCTAAAAGCATGAGTTCTGGAAACTCTAATGTTATGATTACCTCGGAACCTTTAATGGGAGGTTCAACTACTTAGCTTGGGCTTCATCTATCGAGTTGTGGTGTAAAGGTCAAG